TCTACCACTTGAGCCACAGAGCCACTTCCAGTATTCTGAGTGGTTTACTGGAGATAAGAGTCTCATGGACTTTCGTGCCCAGGCTGGCTTTGAACTACGATCCTCAGATCTCAGCCTCCTGAGTAGCTAGGATTACAGGTGTGAGCCACCAGCGCCCGGCAAATATGGCTACCTTTTAAAATATTAAATGCTAATTTTCTTTGAAAGACCTGTAAATGATGTAATTGCCCTTAATTATTCTCCATTTCTATTGTCAAAATGTTCAGATCACACAGGGGCAAAGTATCTATGTTTTATTTCAAAACATTAAACCTCTTATATATTTCAGGATTTCTAAACAAAGCTTTAGCACTGTTTTTCACAGAATATAGATTGAAATAATTTAGAAATTTTATTTAAAGGCCCTCCACAAGGCATAAGGAAAACCTGTGATCAACAGCAAAAATGCTGAAGACATCAAGTATTGCGGCCATGGAGAACTGAACAATGAGACTTTCCTGAATTTGGGGAGCCAATACAGTTGCCATTGGAAATAAAAATGTTAGCAAAAAAAGAAAACATCACTGTCTGCAGAAAAGCAGTCCCTAAAAACTAACACAACCTAACCTGAGTACACTGAACAAAGAGTGAAATCTGCTGAATAGAAGATCTGCTGTGGGAAGTGGCGCTGTAGCTCAAGTGGTAGAACGCTAGCCTTGAGCTGAAGAGCTGAGGGACAGCGCTCAGGACCAGAGTTCAAGGCCCATGACTGACAAAAAAAAGAAAAAAGAAGATCTGCTGTGAACTTATACTAGAGGGAATTTTGACATTATTGAGAGCAGTCTTGTTCTCTGACAGGCATCATTAATAATTGATGCATCACCTGGTCAGATATACTATTAGGTATTCATGGTCAACCAATATAGCCAACCACCTTGGGAAGTTGAGAGGGCTTCTATTAGCTACCCTTCCAGGGTAAGCTTAGGGAACACAGGAAGGAAGGTCCTGAGAGCATGGAGAGTGGTTCAATTTCCCCCAATACAGTGTTTCCCCACCACCAAGCATGAGTTACATATCTGGGCCGAAGAGCTCTCCATTTATTGGCAGCATGGGAAAGTAGACAGAGAAAGAGAGGGAAGTATTAGAGGAGACACTTGTGAAAGGAAGAATGATCATCAGTATTTCCCCTAAAAGTTTTTTTCTGTTTTGCAAATTTACATCTTCTTTCTCTTTCTCTCTCTTTTCTTTCTCTTTCTCTTTCTTTCTTTCTCTCTCTCTTTCTTTCTTTTTCTTTTCTTTTTTTTTTGTCAGTCATGGGGCCTGAACTCTGCGACTGGGCGCTGTCCCTCAGCTCTTCAGCTCAAGGCTAGGGCACTACCACTTCAACCACAGTGCCACTTCGGCTTTTTCTGCTTCTGTGGTGCTGAGGAATCGAACCCAGGGCCTCATGCATGCAAGGCAAGCACTCTACCACTAAGCCATCTTCCCAGCCCTACATTATATTTTTCTTAATACTTTGCCAATATGTAAAACTGTCTTTGTATATAAAACTCCTTCAGCAAAATTTTGCTCTTTGTAGTCATAAATTTGAACTTGGCAATTCTGTAGTCAGATTCTGCCGTATCTTCCTTGACAATTCTCTTATCAGACTCTAGTCCTAAGACATTCTACCACTTTATTCCATTTATTTTCTTTGTGAAAAGGAATAAAACAATGAATGCTAGCTGTTAGCCAATTCTTCCTACACTTGCTCAAAATAAAGGAACTCAGCACTATACACATTCCACTCACTGTACTCTGCCATAGGGTCCTTGGGACTCCAGGACCCTGACCAACAGGGCTGTGGGCAATGCTCCTGGGCAAACTGAAGCCTACTTTCTTCCTTGGTATTTCTTCCTTGGCCAGATTGACTGGCTAAACAAATATTTCAGCAAGAAGCTTAAATATGTTGTTTCCACACTCCTATTTTACAGGTATTGAGATTATAATTTCAGGGATAGGATTTCATTTTATCTTCAAAATGGACTACAGGCACTCTAGATATCCATAACTAGAAGACATATTAAAGGAACTTGAGATCTTTGGAAAGACATCTTGAATTTTAAGGCAAGGAAAGGTACTGTCCGCACCACAGATCTCTTTAGAAAACAGTTCCAGGAATGTGAAATTGAGGGAAAAACAAGTTACCTCTGTCTTGCTTCAAGGAACATTAATAGGAAACAGAGGAAACTAACCTCAAAGTCCTTTCTGAATGAAGGGTAGAAGACATAGCTTCTTTATTTAAGACCTAGAAACCAAATATTGTCTTAAAGATCTTCCAACAAGAGGGTATAATTTGAACCTTGTAAACCTTTTTCTTTTTTCCCATAATTTCAAAGGACTCTATTTTCTGCCTATCCTTCAGCAATAAACACTCATCCCTGCCCCCTGGACTAATTCAATCCCCTCAATTTTGAATCCCAGTCTGCTCATTAATTTCACTTTAAAAGAATATTAGTTCACCCCCAAGTGTGTACAAACAGTAACTAAAGGTACATTTATATGAATCTTTACCACTTTTCCACTATTACATTCATGGAATTGGCCATGTTTCCTTATTCTACAATCATCAAATATCAGAGAAATTCAAAAGTCACATAATTTTATGTCAGAAATATTCCTTTAACTTACCATTTAAAAATGCAAAATCCACTTTTAGTTTATAGGTCACACAAAAACAAGCAGTGGTGGGGGGGAGGGTTTTCAAAGGCTGCAGTGAACCTGATTTAGTTCCCTCTCAAAAGAGTACATTACTGAATAGGTTATTTTCTACATAATATTCTAACAATTTGACTTGGGAATTCTTTCTCTTACACTCTCTCTTGTTTTAGTTTGAAATGTAGTGTTACTTCACTTAAATAATTTCTTTGATCATTGTAAGGATTTTTCTTGCATCTGCCTTTGTTAAACAATTATCCTTCATGTTATTATTCTGAATGCTATCATGTGAGTTATTTACCTAGATAGCTGACATCTACATTTATGTAATGTACTTCCAAGGGCAATCTGTCTGGAATCTCCGGTTATTACAATTTCTTTCAAAGTAGGCATTTTGTTCCAGAGTAATAGGATCTGTTTCTCACAACTTCCAATATCTTAGGTGTATGAATGATATATGAAAAGGAGAAAAATAGTTGACAGAATAATGCAAAGCTGCTTAAAGGCTAAGAGAATGAACATAACTTCCTATTTCAACCTTATTACTCTAAAGGGACTGAGCAAGTCAAACTTCTATGTGAGAAGTTAAGATTAAGTATTGATAAACTACTGAGGAAGTAGGAACTAGTAATAGGTTGTAAATGATGAATAAGAGCATCTTCTCCTTACAGAGATGAGAGTAGACAGAATTTCCAAGGAGATGGTATCACTTTACTTTGGTTGGTCTTTATGCTCTACTGGTTGAGACATGAGAACATTTATTCAAACTTCTGTCAGATTGATAGAGAGTAAGAACAAGTATCTGGTTTAAAAAGTGCCGAATCTAAATAAATTTGTGTGTGTGTGTGTGTGCGCGTGCGCACGTGCACATACGCGCCAGTCCTGGGACTTGAACTCAGGGACTGGGTGCTATCATTGAGCGTCTTTTCCTCAAGGCTAGCCGCTCTACTACTTGAGCAACGGCACTACTTCTGGCCTTTTCTGAGTAGTTAATTGGAGATCAACATCTCAAGGACTTTCTTGCCAGGCTGGCTTTGAACTACAGCCCTCAGATCTCAGCCTTCTGAGCAGCTAGGATTACAGGAGTGAGCCAACAGCACTTGATGTCAATTTAAATATTTTGCTAATATTTTTCTTTTTTTGTTTTGCTAATATTTTCTAAGTATGCTGGTAGTGCCATCCCTACTGTCTAGATCTCTATATGAGAACAACCAAAAACAATGGGAAATTTTCCATAGAATGGAGTGAGAAAAATGTGAGGCATCTGGATTTTCTCCTTTAAGTCTTTATAGGAGTGTGCATTCTTCTGGAAGCCATGTCAACTCTCAGCTACCTTCTCATTACCATGTTGGCCTTTGTCACTGCACTACATTTGGGTGGACAGAAGCAGTTCCATAAAAACACACAAACTAGAGAGGAAACCAACCACAAGAAAACAAAGCAAATGTTCTGTTCTTTAACAAATTCATGGATCTTACTCCCACTTTTATGACTCAATGAGAATGGAAATGGAATGCCATATAAGTCCATTTTCTGCGTAATTTTGGTTGCTTGCAATATAAAGGACTCCACTTTCAGACTTGCCAGGAAAAACTAAGGTAAATAAACGTGTACTTTCATTTTGTGAATTTCATTTAAATGACCCACAGTAATCTTACTAGGATAATTGTTTTTAATAAGATTTACAAAAGTAGTCAATATATGTATACTTTATTAGGATCACTGAAGAACAATAAAGACCTTAATAGTTCTCCAAAAATAAAGAAAAAAAACAACTAATTTACCTTAAAGAATAGGCTGATAAAGTATTTCTGTGGAAATTGAGACGGACATGGGATTTATATTTCTAGTTTTTTTTAAAAATAAACAACAACAACAAAACGAGTAGAAGGTAAGTTCTCCAATGTTACTATTACCCATGGCTTCACTAAGTCTGTGGCAATATCTTGTTTTATAGAAATAGAATAAAACATGTACTAGCTGACTCTTTATTCTGTGACACTGAAAGACAATTTGTATTTGAGAAGGTATAACATAATGTCTAGGTGGATGAACTATGGCAGTTAGTTCATCTAATATAGTTACTTATTTCTCTCATAACCAAGACATTAAACACTGGGCAGAAACAATGTCACAGGTTAGTTTTTAAGTACAGAAAAAAAAGCATTACTGAGAGGAAGAAACCAATAAAAACCTGAGAACAAAGACTTCTCAAAACAAGGCCTGACCCTATGTGTTCACACTGGAAGTTTTACAGGACTCAAACAGGACAGGGAAAAGAAGGTTAAGTTTTCCTTGTCTCACTGATCCACATTTGTACTTACATCTTGTCTTGGCCAGCACCAACTCGCAGAGTCAATCTGGGGATGACTGGACTTGGGGCTGGAACCACTGGTTCTACTTTTATCTGTGGAAGTTAAATACATTACAGTTAATTTTTTTCCTCCTTAAAAAATGGCACCTTCTACTTCTCATACAAGTTTGTAGGTGACATGTATGTCTAAAATACTAGACATAAAACAACCCAGGTTTGGCAAGTAAAGGCTACTTGACATCATGAAAAATTCCATGGATTTGAATCACATCAGGTAAATATGGTAGTTATTTTTGTTTTATTAGTTTGGATTAATTTCTCAGGTTTAGATTATGTTATTAGAATATCAGTTAGGTAAATAGAAAAAATCTGTAATGATAGCTTTCCTATAAGAGTGCAACTATTCATGGGACTTGACAAATGTTAAACTCATAATAAGATTACTTTACTGTGTAAAAAACCTGGAATGCCAAGTATAATTATAGCATTGTAGTATTCTAGTTTTGGCTAAGATGATTTGTAAAAAATAATAACAACAAAAATAACAACCCACTATATACTTCCTAGACAGAATTTATGATAAAGACAATGACTGCTGGAAAAAGATGAAGAATTCACAAATGTTTGAGCTATCACAAAGAAACTATAAAATTAAGTATGATATTATAGGTTCTCTTTACACTTTTTGGTTTGAAGACATTAACAGTATAATTAATACTTTTTTTTTGTGGGTCCTGGGGCTTAAACTCTAGGCTTGGGTGCTTACCACAACATCACTTCCAGCCTTTTCTGTGATTAGAGATGAGTCTCATGGAATTTTCTGCCTGGGCTGGCTTCAAACTCAGGTCTCAAGCTTTTTTTTTTTTTTTTTCTGTTGGTCAGGGGGGCTGAACTCTGGGCCTGGGTACTCCCCCTCAACGCTTCATCTCAATGCTAGTGCCCTACCACTTGAGTCACAGCACCACTTCTGGCTTTTTTTCTGCTTATGTGGTGCTGAGGAATCAAACCCAGGGCCTCATGCATGCGGCACAAGCACTCTATCACTGAACTATCTTCCCAGCCCCTCTCAGCCTCTTGATTAGGTAGGATTACAGGGTGTAAGCCACCAGCACTCTGAGAATCAACATTTTGGATCAACAAAAATTCTGTAGTACAAAATTATTGTTTATGTCAGAGCTTTTCAGTGTAGATTTGATTGGTGCTTTTGGTGGGCTACTTCTTCGTGGTACAGGACTGTCACAAGCACTGCTGGTGTTTAGGTCTTGCAATATTCCATACGGTAGTCTACTGCTAGTTACAGACAGCTGGCTGCAAACCACTAACTTACGTATTTCAAGCTCAAGAATTAAATAATAATGGAAGAGTGCTTTGGCTCTAAGAGGGAATGGATAAATGAAATACTACTTAATATCTAATAAGATATATATCATGTAGCTATTTGACCATGGATCAAATCTACTATGTTCTCATATGTATTAACTGCTTCTTCCTGTAGGTTTATTTTTTATTTGCTTATTTTTATTTTAGTCCATCATCTCATTGGAATCTGCTGTGATTATTCTCTTGAACAGTAGCAGAATGTAGGGTATACTCCATAATATATGTTGAATTAACAACTCATCTTTAATGTACCCTTAATTTTTCCCCCTTCTGGATTAATCTTTATTCTTCCAGGAGCAACCTAACATCATCCTCTAGAGCACTGAATAATACCAAAGAATCTTAAAACCCAATTCCAAGTTCATCTGTGTCTCCATACTATCTGTCCATTTAGAGTTCACACAGATAAGAGCAGACACTATGTTTGATCTGTTGCTATATTCCAGTGTCTGTCACAGTAACATGTAAGAACGTGGACATAAAATAATAATTACAAATCTTTTTCTCTTTAAAGACCCTCTTTATCTAATTCCTTTCCCCTTTTTGCTTAAAGTTCAAAAGGTGAAGATTCTGAGGCTATGAAGCAGATGATTTTCTTTATTTCACCTCCCTACAAATATACACGCTATAACTATACAAGGATAACTAGAGTCCACATCTGCTAGCTTTAAGAATCATTTTTCTTAATAATTTACAGTATTTTAATCTTTCTATTCATTTTAGGTGGTTTATTAATTATTTTTATCTAGTTTTTAAACTTTATTTAAAATATTATCTTCTCTTCAATCTTTTTTTCCCCTTGGTAGTGGGGTGTGAATTCTGGGCCTGGGCGCTGTCCCTCAGCTCTTCAGCTCAAGGCTAGTGCTCTAACACTTGAGCCACAGTGCCACTTCTGGCTTTTTCTGCTTATGTGATGCTGAGGAATCGAACCCAGGGCCTCATGCATGCAAAACAAGCACTCTACCACTGAGTTACCTTCCCAGCCCATTCTCTTCACTAACAATCTCTCTAACAATCTTCACTAACAATCTCTCACACTTTTCAGTCTTTATTTTCTGTCTATTCACTTTACTGTGCCTATTTCTTCATTTCTTATTCATTCCTTAAACCACCCCAATCTATTCTCTGCTTCAACATGCCACTAAAGACTACTCTTTGTAGATGCTAATTATTTCTTAATGTCTCTGTGTTGGTTCACTGTGGGTTTCACCAGCTCTTTCTGTCTCTTCAAAAAGACTTCTACTTTTGTCTGACCTAATTTAGTCCTGTGCTTTTACCACTGTTCTTTTTTTTTGGGGGGGGGGGGTTGTTATTTTCCTTTGATCTCATTCATTTCCATAGATTTTAATATTTTCTCTATGTCATGTCTTCCAATTTCCCATTCAAGATAAACACTGTTAGTCCAAAACACTAAGATCAAAATATAATCTTGCCTACTGAACATTTTCAAGTACGTATCCTGTATATATTTCGTCTCATAACACTTAATCTTTTTCCTCCCTCATATAGTACTTGGAACTGAACCCAGAACCTTGTACATGGCTAGGCACACATTATATGAACTGAATCTTAAATTTATATACATTCTCACAACCACTTCTTAAATTGTGTCACTATTGGCTGATGTCTTTCTCTCAGTCCAGCTATCCAGATACTATAAAACTGATTTTTCTCAAGAACTTGTAGGGTCAAAGCTCATCAGACGAAGGTAACACAAGTGCGTCATGAGCTAGATTTTTGTGACTACTTTCAGAATTTTTGCTTTTGAACAAAGAATTCCATATCTAAATCTGAAAACCAATAGTCCAGTTTGTATTTTGTGACCTGTGAAGACTTCCATACTTTTCTTACCTTTTAGTTTCCTGTGGGAGGACATACAATATAACTAGACTTACAAGCCACCTGCAACTTTCCAGGTACTGTGCCTGATCATTTCCCAGATGTTCTCATTTAGATTTTTAAGAAACATATAGGGTACACATACAGGGTTGTTTTACAGGTCATATATGCAGCAATCATTGTTTCCTTTCCTTTCCATTTTGTTTTCTTTTCCATTTTATGATTATACAAACAGCATAACTGGGATTGATAATAGTATTTTTTTCTTTTTCTTTTCTTTCTTTTTTTGGTGTCTGTTCAGGGCACTGTCCCTGAGGCTTTTTTTGCACAAAGCTATCAGTCTAACGCTTGAGCCATAGTTCCACTTCTGGCTTTTTGGTGGTCAACTGGAGATAGAGAGTCTCATGGAAACTGGAGATAAAAAGTCCCATTGACTTTCTTATGCAGGCTGGCTTTGAATCGCAATCCTCAGATCTCAGCCTTCTGAGTAGCTAGGATTTCAGATACAAGCCACCAGTGTCAGGCTGATTATAATGTTTTTGACTGGAAACAAACAAACAAAAAACAAATTTCTAAACTTCTAGACTTGAAGTCAGGATCTCAAGCTCTTGCTTGGCTCTTTCCACTGAAGGTTAGGACTCTACCATTTGACTCACATCTCTACCTCTGCCTTTTTTCTTGTCAATTGGCGGTAAGAGACTCAAAGCTTTTCGGCCTTGGCTGGCTTGGAACTCTGATTCTCCCATCTCAGCCTCCTGAGTAGCTACACTTATAGAAGTGAGCCATCCTTGCTCAGTGCTCAGCCTCCCTTGCTTCTTTAATTCTAAAAATTTTAGGTAAGCATTCTCATAGATAATGAGGTAATATGAGTGATATTTCTTTTAAAACTGATATATAAAAACACAAAAATGGATACATTAATGGAGTATCACATAGTTTTGAGATGTACATCTATTGTATAATATTTATATCAAGTTAAACAGACCTCAAAACATAATTTCTTTCTAGTGAAAGCTTTCAGATTCCATTCTACTAGCACTTTGAAGGGTATGGTAAATTACTGTTATCTATAGACACCCTACAATATAACAACACACAAGAACTTCTTGTTCACAGTACTTTTATGAAAAACATGTAGCCCTTTTTTTTCTTCAAGTTTTACTTTAAAAATAAGGCTATTTCCTTTATTTAAAAAATTCTGCTTTTCTATTGTACTTTATATTTTGTGTCTGGTTACTCTTACATGGCAATTGTAACCTACACTTGCATAGTATTAAAAAAATTGTTCCATATACATTAATCGACTTGATTTTCACAACTCTCTATGACAGGTGCAGCAGGTTTATTATTTCTACATAATAAAGAACTCATGAAGAATTAGTGGTTTGCCCAGAGTTACAAACTGGGCAGACAATGAATGGCCTAAATCTAGACCTGCTGACACCAAACTCATCTCCTGTTCTCCCATATAGCTCATTGACTCTCTGATGCATTTTGGGTCCCTTTTCTTATAATGTTGATATCCTGCTTGGAACTATTTATTTCCCTTGCAAAGATCTCTTAAGATAAGTAATATACATTCATAACATGGTTAAAGTTAGTTGTAAATGTTTGGCTTTTTTTTTTCTTCAGAAAAATAATTCTTTTTTTCCTGGAAGGCTATGAAAATTGGGATTAATTTTGGCATCACTTCCAGCCAACTAAACTAGCTGGGTTTTTCTGCTTCTTAGATGGTTTGGCAAGGCAACTTGATCAAGACATGGTCTACTTAAGTCCGACCATTAAAAAGTTAAATGATATAATCAACTGGTTCAATTAATGAATGATTCTGCTAACTCAGTTCAAAGTTTTATCTGTAATTATAGTGTCTATGT